GGGCGGGAGGCACCGGGGGCAGCCAGGGAGGGCGGGAGGCACCGGGGCAGCCAGGGAGGGCGGGAGGCACCGGGGGCAGCCAGGGAGGGCGGGAGGGAGGGACGAAGAAGGGGCTTCCTCCGGACTTGAACGGCTTGCTCGGACTGTCGTAGTAGTGAGAGGAAGCCCCGGGCAGACGTGTTAGCGCTGCGTGAGCCCGGGAGCCTCTCTGCCCTGCGGGCGCCTCAGACGCAGTCGCTGTGGCCTGGGTCCGCTCCGCGGCCGGCTGGAGAATGCGGTTCCGAACGACGGGACGTGAAGGAGGAGGAGAGCTGAGAGACGATCGGCAGGAGCCGTGGCGACCATCCCGCCCCGCTCCTTCATCTTACAGAGGGGGGACAGCTCATGCTTCCTAGCCCGTCTCTTTCTTTCTTCTTTTTCCATTCTGCCTTTTGTCGAGCTCGGAGTCAATGAAATATTGCTGTAAATGGACATTTCTCTGCCAGGGACAGAAGCTGTTAGTCTGTTACTAAGCACGGCCTATTTCTACCCAGCCAAAGGAAAATGAAGCTGGCATTAATTTTCGTGGCGCTACAACCTGACTGCCAAGGAGATCCAGATAATTGTGGCCCACAGCTCTGTCCTTACTTGGATCTTGTCCATGGTCATAGGACCATGGCTTTAGAGCTGGAGGGGAGCTCACAGATCTTCCAACTCAGCCAACTCCATTATTACCTAGATGAAGAAACTGAGGGTCATGGAAGTCACATAGGTAGCAAGTGGCAGAGCTTGTATTTGCCATTATGCCTCCTGCCTCCCCAGGCAGCTCTCTTTCCCCATGCCCCGGGTGCTCTCAAAAACTCAGGTAATTCGGAGAAAAAAGCAGCTGAATTTTGGAGAGGCAGTCAACGCTTTTCTGTAAAGGGGCTCCATGCTTCCCCAGACGGTTGGGATGGATGGCCACTGTGGTCCTGGGCAGCTCTGCCATTCTCCAAGAAAGAATTCAATGTTAGCACTAGCTGTGAAGAGAACTACAATGTGTCTGGCTGCTTTTTGGGTTGAAGACTTAATCCCCGCCCCGCCCCCCCCAACTGACTGTTTTCATTTCATTTCATTTTATTTTTATTTTTATTTTTTTTTTCAGCCAGAGACAAGGTTTATTAGAACATCCATCATATTGGGCAGACTCTTAAGGAGTTCAAACATGAGTAAGCAATGGCTAGATTATAAGAATCTAAGCATCTTAATGGAGACAAGGTGGACCTTATATACAGAAAGACTGTGAGAGGGATCTAGGAGTGGCCAAGTAGTCTATGAGGTAATAAAATTCCAGGTATCTGGACCACATGGCCAAGCGAGAATGGAGAAGTGGCCTGGGGCCATAGGGAGGTCCAGTTGATGGGATTATAGCCTCAGGGGAATGCCAGATTTGGCCATGTGGGAAAGTCTAGGGTTTTTCCTTTCTGGGGTCTAGATCCCAACCCCATCATTCCCCCTTCAAACAAATGGGACCCAAATTCTTTTGGAGTAAGGGGTGAAGGTCTCGGCTTCTGAAACTGCTTCCTGCTGGCAAAGGGCATAGAGTTGTCCCTGCCTCAAGGGGGTCCCAAAGAGGAGGGTGACTGGAACTGAGCACAGGCTGCATCCAGGGAATGATGTGGTGACATTGACTGGTACTCGCTGTTTACTACCAACTGTAGGTGAATGGCCCATTAGTCTGGAAGACATAAATCTGACAGAAAAAAAATGCAGGGCCCAGATATAAAGCAGGGACTAGATTTAGGGCCCAATTTTGAGAGGATAAAACATCCTTAGCTCTGTTTGGATTCAGATCATTCAGTTTTCCAACCATGCAGTATCAAATCCACTTCATAGCCAGACTCAGGAATAGCCAGGTGGGTAACATTCCCTTTCAAAGGAACATAATGGAGAAACTGAGCCAGGAAGATCCCATCTTAGACTGAGGCTAAAATTGTCCTCACAGCTTTTCCTGATACTGACTTCCCACCAGTATCATCTTCTCTGAGTAGCTTGTGGCATTTCTCTCAGATGGTGGATTATTGTTATCAATGGATTATGACCCATCAGACAACTCAAAATAAAACCCTATGAGTTTTTACCTCAAACAGCAAGTTTTACTAATCACAGTTTAGGAAAAACTTTTCCAGGATTTACATCTCAAACTTAAATTTGTCCTAGTGTAAAAAGCCAATCATTAAAGATTTCTATACACTCGCAAATTCTCAGCAAGCCATACATAACCCAAACAAACTTTTTGGCTGGTTTACACATTAAAACAATAACCAACAATACCTAAATTATTTCAGCGGTAACCAAATTATGAAGTTACTTGACCTAACTGATACAGAAGGTTAAGTTCACCAATTTGAAACTTGAAACAAACCCATTACCAGTCAGGTGACTTCAGTTTTGTTAAATGCATTTCCAAATTACTTTACACAGAGAACCAACATCTCATCATTAACAGTTAAAACTATGAATTTAAAAGAGCGTGCTTACCCAAGTTTGGAGTCCAGCTCCTTTACCTTGAGCAGAATGTGCTGAACCTAGGTGATGCTTCCAGGCAAAGGTTGCCCTAGAGCCCAACGCCATTGCCAGGGGGGCCCATGCAGTAGCTGCTGCCCCTCCCCCTTCCTTCCTTTCCCAGGTGGGGGAGGGTGAAATCAAAGGTGTTTCAAAACTCCCTAATGATCAATCACAAAACCTCCAGAATTTGCCAAGATATTTTTAGCTGTTCCCCTGTAACCTCCATGAAGGAGAATTCAGGGGTGTAGAGGGAAGGGAGTAAGTAAGCCTCAGCAGGCAACTGCAGTTTTTCCCAATTCCCTAGCGCCAAGGGAATTAACAAAATTGACCATACACTTCCGGATAGGGCATCCGTCCTTGTACTCTATGATGCAGAAAGTGTTCCCAGGTCCATGGCCTTCAACCAACCCAATGGACTGAGAACCTGAGAGCATCAGGCCAAGTGTGAGACAGCCTTGTAACTGTCTGCCAGAAAATCACCTCCAAGCTTTGGTGCTTGGAGAGCGACCTCAACTGAACAGCCAGAAAAGAGGGGAGGGAGGAGGCTTACATACCTTCCAATCTTGGCTGGAGAAGAACTTGGGGTTAGGCAGTGTCCCTGTATGGGCCAACAAAATGATGTGGTTTAGGGGTTCAGGGGTTCTGGGACCCCAAAATCACAACACGCGGATCCTGCCTGAAAGAATTCAACCCAAGCCTTCTTTCAGCCAAAGACAAGGCTTATTAGAACATCCATCATATAGGGCAGACCCTTAAGGAGTCTGAACATGGGTAAGCAGTGGCTAGATTATAAGAATCTCAGCAATGGCTAGATTTTAGGAATCTGAACCCCATTTCCATTTTAAAACCATGCTTGTTTCCAGATTTTCCCAAGTTAGCATAGATAATTGCCCAACAAGCTAAAACCTTTGGAAACAATCCATCCCAAATCCTCATTGTCCGGAGACCAAGTCAGGGGGGGATTCCATGATCTCTTCCAACCATTCTGCAGGTTGTAGGCTGCCCATGGCTTACCTTCTGGGCAACCTTAACCAGTGTCTTTCCATTTCATGTCTCCAGGAACACGCAGGTGCCCTAGGAGAGGACATTCTTTGTAGGTCCCCCTCAGTCCTGCCTGGCAAGTATTGACTCTCCTTTTTATAACCTTGAAGAGAGGAAGGTTTGGGATCAAAACCTATCTGTTCATGGGATTATACTGTTGGCATGTATAGTAATATAATATGTAATCATAGGATATATAATTATAAATAATGTAAAATCATACACAATATATTATAGTGATATAATAATATAGAACATATAATGACACAACCTATAGTGTATTGTTGGTATAATACAATATAATTGGCATAATAATATAATATATAATGTATTGCATAACACATTCTGTTACTGACTCTTTCTCATGCTTTCTCTTCACATATGCTGCTGCTCCCAGTCCACTCTATTGCTAGAAGTGCTCCTCCCCATCTTCATCTGACTTCCATGAGCCTCATGATCTCTCCTATACAGCTAGGCCATCTAATCCAGGCCCTATCAATCTGACAATCCCTTCTGCAGCATCCCTGCCAATGTCCATCTAGCCTTTAGTGAAAGGGAAGAGCCCATACCCTCCCAATGGCGCTCATCGCACCGGGGCACACCTCTAGTGGTCTAGTGGTTAGAACATTCTTGTTTTCATTCCACCAGATTCAGAATCTCTGGCATTCTCATCCATTGCTCTGGGGTCCAAACAAGCCAACCTAATATCTCTCCTGTGGGATTACCCCTTCAAGGATCTGTAGGCAGCTCCTTCCCCCCTTTCCTCCCAAATCTTCTCTCTTCCAAGTCAAACATGTCCACTTATTTCAGCTAAGTCTCTTCGGGGACCAGAGCCAAGTCACCTCATTCTGAGCATGCTCTAGCCTGGCTATGTTCCTCCTAAAATGGAGCTCTCAGTACTGAATGTAAGACTTCAAGTGTGCCTTGACCAGGGCAGACTGTGGTGGGCCCAGAGTCTCCTCCATTCTCAAAATTTGC